AACAAGAAAGGAAGAAACATTCCATATCTCTGGTTTAGTAAATTATCTATAATATCTCATACTAACATCGTAACAATCATATTCAATATTAATGAAGTTAAAAAATCAATCAACTTTCTGTTTTCTCACCCTTGTAGGTAAAATAGATACGAAAAATATATAAACCATAAATCACAAAAAGGAGACCGCCCAACCTCATATTGTTGCATGACTTGTGCTTCTTCTCATTGTAGTTTGGTTCCATAAGTAATCCATCAAAATTCAATCTTAGTAAGCACAAGCTAAGTTCAAGTTTAGTTGATTTGTTCATCAAAACACCCCACTTCCATTTCATTTTATTCAAATTATAATGCTCAAATAAGAAAATGCATGAAAGTACAATGCCAGAAGTGGTTAAAAAATAAAATTAATTTGCTATTTTTCAATGATAAATATCCCTCTAATACCCTTCTTTCAAATGTGGCTCCAGAGAATGTAATAACGTTGCTTTTCGTGCTCTGGACTGATTGGGAGAGTAACTGGAATACTGGAAACATAAAAAAGACCAGACTTTAGCATAATAAACACGCACATAATCTAGTTTTATTACATGAACAAAAAAAATACAAAATATAGACATTGATGTTGTATTTGTGAATGATTTAAGGAGATTGGGGTATAGATCATGGTGGCGGTTGCGGAAGCCTGCAACAGTGGCGGTGTTATGGGCGGCGTATTTTAGGTTTCATGAAGACCGATGAGAGTGGGATGAAAGATAAAGTGGAAATGCTTTATAACTTGTATAGGGGCTAGACCGATTCAATCGGATATCCGTAGTACTTGGTCAAACTTTGTCCAATTCAAAATTTTATCATTTTATTTGGCTTTTTCAAATGCCGACCGATTCATGATTTTTTAAAGCATAAAGTTATTATACATATTGTATAAGAGGTTGTACCTTTTAAAATTCAGCATTTTGGGGTAAATGCTTTGTGAGGTATATATATATATATATATATATATATATATATATATATATATATATATATATATGGTTGTTATGTACCTAATATTAGGTATAGAAACATCAAAAATTACACAGTTTTAACAAAATGCAATTAAATCTCTCTACTATCTTTCTTTTATCCTCTATTAGACTAGATTATAAGATTTGTATATATTTTATGGAGTTTTAAATATTTAATTTTGCACCACTAACCATGTATAAGAATAGATTATCAACTACCTATAAGCCTTCATATTCAAATTTAATATATAAAACTATAGTGAAAGATTGAAATTGTTTATTGAAAACCCAACAAATTTCTTCTCATAACACATCAAAAAGAACCATGCAAGTATACATATGGTAGGTGTCAAATAAAGTTATGAAGCCTACTAGAAGTCTAATAAAAACAATGCATTCGAAATACATAGATGTTAGGGAAAAATTATGAAATCAGAAATAATATGAGCTCAAAAGTAATAGGAAGAAGCTAACAATAAAAAAAATTATATTTTTTAATCAAAATGAAGTCAATTTTGGTGGTTCTATATCTAATATTACATACATGACAGCCACATATTCACTTTTCCCACATATATATATATATATATATATATATATATATATATATATATATATATATATAAACTCATATGTTAAGAATATAAAATTATTAATTTGTTTAACACTGGTCTCTTAAATTAAAAATTGACATATATCTATGTATGTTTATGAAATTTAATCCACATATAAATATAATTGAGTATGACATATGTCTCATATTCGTGTGTGTGTATATATATATATTGTTATATAATTTTAATTATATAACATATATGCCTTGTGTTTATATGATTGTCACACATTATATATTTTACAAAAATCCGTAACTAATTACATTTTCAATTGTTATAAAAATATGTTTCTTTACATATTAATATATGCACGAATTTTAAAAATTACGTTATTACAGTCGTCTTAATTTAAAATAACCCAACTTGATTCTTACTATCATTTCATGATATTCAAAGTATACACGGAGATGAAGTTCTTATACCCAAATTTATGTTTAAGCAATAATCATCTAGTATCATTATAGTTAGAATGAACTTACTTGTCCTTCTGAAGATACACTAAAACTCAGTAATTCGGATTAACATGAGATTCACGGTTAAACGGACGGTTATAATTTTAGCCCTAAATTTCGGGTTGTCATAGAAAAGGACTTTAAGTTTTAAATGAATTGAAATTCCTAGATTCTAACCAGAGAAGAAATAAAAAAGAAGAGAAAATAGAATCTCCTTTTTTTACATACTTTGTATAATAAACTCTTTATCCCCTCTATAAAAATCAAATAGATGGTGTTCTAAAGAACGAGATGGAGAATATGTATTATTATCTAGACTCTTAATGAATATGTATTCATATCAATTAACCGGTAGAATAGAGACACATAATGAGGAATAATGTAAAAGGTTTAGTTACTTTATAAATATCATTATACTTATAATGAGGATTAATACAAGGACTTGAATTCCTCATTATAAGTATAATGATATTTATGAGCTGTGTCACTATCGATTAATACCAGCACTTGAATTCCTCCAATGTCGCCTTTAACCTTCATCGTTTGTGGTGGAGTGAGACCATTGACGGAGTTTAGTGATACCTCAACCAAGTTGTGTTGAGCATGATCCTGTTTGCCCTCCTCGTTTTCTCGTCCTCATCTACGATCAATACTTGTAAAGTTTAGCTTGGGAAACGGTGCCCAGGTCCAAACTTACCATCATAATGAAAACACAGCCCTTTTGACATTTTTTTCTGCAAATTCAACTTTTGTTAACCATTTGAATGATCATATTAAGCTTGTGAAGCCGATGCTGCTGATTTTGCTGTTCAAGGTCACTGCTACTGTGTTGCTTGAGGTAGAACTTGACCGGTTTGACATGTTGTTGGCAAACTGAGTCGTCCCACTACCCGTCTCGGGTACTCCCACCATGAACTTGTTCTCGTCCACCATGACTGCAATTTTCATGGCTCTGGTTAGATTTTCGGGTTGTAAAATCCGAACATCATATCGTATCTCAGGCTTCAGTCTATTAATAAACGTGCCTTCTAATATCCTTTTCGTTAATTCCCCCAGTTGGCAGACCATGCTTTCGAATTGGCTTACAGAGTTGCGTACCTCTCCTTCATGTTGAATGGCTAGAAATTGTTCATACAAGCTTCCTTCTCCTGCTGGCCGGAACCATTCGCGTAGGCATTCTTTTAACCCGTTCCAAGAACGAAACAGGCACCAACAATACTATGATAATGTTGTTCCATACAAACAAATGGTTGCCGCCCTCAGCTGGTCCCGCTCCCCCAATGATCTGGATTTTGAAAAATCTCTCCACCTTGTAAATCCATTTTCCCCCTTGAAAGTTGGAGCCTTGAGTTCACGAAAATCAGTGGCTGAATTTCCTCCTCTATGAACCTTGTCGTCTTTTGGGTTCCTTTTAAACGACCCGAACTCAAGATCGAACTCGCCGCCACTCTTGCTGGATTTCTTGTCCTCCGACTGTCACAACTAGATGATTAATGGCCAAGAATAATTCTGAAAATTGTTGTGCATTCACTTTTCTGGTGAGTGTCGCCTCCTTGATGTTGGGATGTTGGCGACATCCAACTCTACGCGAACGATCCCATAGGTGTTGGATCGAATACCTACCAACATGGATAAACTTTCCTAATTTCCTAATGTAACCAGAAATATCTTTCCTAATCAATAAACTTTCCTTATTTCTTTAATATAAATAAGATACATTTCCTAATCTAAATAAATTTTCCTAAATACTCCATCTAATGACGCCTTTGATAGACCCTACCAAACCGGCGGGATATATCAAATACCTACTTTCTTCAATAAACTTTGATTAAAATTTTGACATCAATATACAACCTTATCAAGGCTTTACTATAACTGTAGGTTAGGCCTCACACCATTTGCCATGTCAAGTTTTTGTCTTATTGTCTACAACAATGATTTAAAATGTTTAGTAGTTGGTACTTGTTAGAATCCAGTCATTTGAGCCCTAATGAGAAATTGACTGATAGATTAATGTTAGAATTAAATGATGATAAACAAATGTTAAAATTAGGTAATAAATCAAATTTTTAGTGTTGCATATTGGTCCTTATTTTCTGCATAGCTTTCACATAACTTGATCCCACATTTTAGTTTGCATTTTTCACTACAATAATCATACCTGATGCTTTGTTAAGTAAATGTCAAACCGGGAACATTCCCTTCCTACCTAGAGTATGTGTCATCGCTCGTTGTATGGTGATTGTCTTTTAAGGTCAATTTTTGAAACATGAACTCTTGATTAAGATTAAAACCATATAGCATGAAGAATTTCGGTACTAAACAAAGCAACCTTGAAGTGTGGATGAATTTTGTTATTTTAAAAATTGACCAAAATACCCAAAGGGTATATGTTGACCTATGTTAACTTTTCACATGATAACAATGACAAGGAGAGTAGCAGATGAAGTTAGGATGACAGAAGATGAAAAACTGTGTGAAATAGTAATGTACTTCGAGTTTTACTATGTTCATTTGTATGCTTACTGATTTTTAATTAAAAGTATATTCAAGCAAAAAATAGTAGGGTACTCTTATGCTGCCTTGTAGCATGTGCCTAGTATTGGAATAGTCCAAGCAGTTACCTAGTTAGGATATTGCTTGATATTTGGATGCTATATCTTTCAGGGGTAAATATATAGAAGATATAAAAAATATTTGGAGGTTATTGTTTCAACTAAATTTTATTAAAATATATATTTGATAAAAAGTTTTTACTAAATAATATTAAACTATATTTAGAGATTGTTTCAACTAAATTAGAAAAAAAAAAAAAAAAGGATTAACTATGAGCTTCCGATACCTTTGACAAAGTATATATAAATACAAAATAGAAGATAAACAAAATCATCTGTTCATCATCAGCAGCATCATCATCATCATTACATCTTATCCTTCATCTTCTCCTCCTCCTCCTTCTTCTTCTCCTTCTTCTTCCTCTTCTTCTTCTCCTCCCTCCTTCTTCTTCTTCTTCTCCTCCTCCCTCTCCCGCTTCTTCTTCTCCTCCTCCTCCTCCTTCTCCTCCTCCCTCTTCTTCTTCTTCTTCTCCTCCTTCTCCTCCTTCTTCTCCTCCTTCTTCTTCTTCCTCTTCTCCTCCCTCTCCTTCTCCTTCTCATCAACTTCCAACCTTCGAAACAAATCTGACACGAAGTGCTTATAGTGTCCTTTTGTTGAATCGCCAATCACGTCAATCAATTTTTTCCCTTTACGAGTGAAATATGCTTCTTTTATTAATTTCAGATCTCTGCCTGCTCGCGTGACAATCACCCGCATGAGCGCGTCTTTGTCATGAAAATCATGCTCTTTATCTTTTAAAGAGGTATCAAGAACCTCAGTGAAGTAGGATATGGGATCAAGTAAACACTGAAAAATAACGCGCAGGAGTTTGTGTTTCTGAAGCATCTCCACATGCTTCAAAATAAAATAATATAAAGATTAAACAATATATATTTGAATTCTATGTTTCTAACTCAATTATCAAAGTTCTTGCAAACTTACATCGTAGATAGATATTCCACCCGACTTTGTTTTGAAGTGCTTGAGCACAGACTGGAGGTGGGCTATAGGTTCCCTCGCTATCATGGCCGCTACATGCATACCATCAGGGCCGTGATCATTAGTCAATACATGATGAAGTAGATCCGCATCCTGTTTAGCTTGTTCTTCCTTTGTATGATAAATCCAACGTTCTTCCCATAACAGAATTTCAATCACCTGTTTATTCATAAAACTTGAGAGTACTCTACCGACTATTTAAGAAACTTAATTGTAACAAGGTACATATGTTTGACATCACCTTTACTTCAAGCTTGGTGAAAGAAGGCGATTTTATATGCTCTTGTACACTTTCCCCATAAATGGCCTGATAGACTTTTTGAACGATGTCCAGATCCTTGTATACCCTGGTGCAGAGAACCTCGATGAAAACATGTTTCGGCACACAACCTTCATGGAGTGCAGATCTCATCAAGCCGGCATCCCTGATATAAGGATGTTATGTCCACATTTTTATGGCCTTCTGTAAAAGATAGATGAAAAAAATGTGGACAGAACATCCTTATATCAGGGATGCCCGCTTGATGAGATCTGCACTCCATGAAGGTTGTGTGCCGAAACATGTTTTCATCGAGGTTCTCTGCACCAGGGTATACAAGGATCTGGACATCGTTCAAAAAGTCTATCAGGCCATTTATGGGGAAAGTGTACAAAAGCATATAAAATCGTCTTCTTTCACCAAGCTTGAAGTAAAGGTGATGTCAAACATATGTACCTTGTTACAATTAAGTTTCTTAAATAGTCGGTAGAGTACTCTCAAGTTTTATGAATAAACAGGTGATTGAAATTCTGTTATGGGAAGAACGTTGGATTTACCATGCGCTCTTCTTTTCTGTATCTTCACGTCAGTCGTTCTCATTCACTTGCTTTGGCCCCCCAACCTCTCGTAATACCGGAGGTCTCCCTCCTCGATAAAGCGTGGAATTGAACCCTTAAATGCTTCGACGGCATCTTTATCCAAATTTCCAAACAAATGCACCAAGGTTTTTTCCTCTACTCCTGATCCTGTTATAGATTAATTATTAGTAATACATTAAAACGAGACTGAATACCATCACAATGAATGGCGAAACCAAACCTGAACAAGCCACTTTAATCCCTGAATGCAGCTGCTCAAAACTAATCTTTCCAGGTCCGTCCACAGATCTTGCCATTGCTGAGAGATAGAGAGAAGTAAGAATGGAATGTAGTGGAAGGATTAAACATTTAACAGATTTTCAACTAGCGTATTACAAAATTTAACAATGCATAACATGTATGCAGCTTCAAAGTTCTAACCCAACAAATAAAAGTATTTGAAATAGATAGACTACATCAACAAGTCAAGTCGTCGCAATTAAGACACTATCTTCGATGTATTAGCTTAGTTATCAACTCAAAATCAATCACAATTACAAATTCAGACATTAAATTTACCTGCGAAGGTAGTGGGAAAAGTTCCTGATTTCACGAGTCAAGCGGCGGCTGCTGCGCAAATTGAATAACCCTAAAATACTGAAAACTACATTTTACGGTCTAATTTTGCATTTTCATACATGTGTTGTTTTCTAGTTTTATTATCTTGCAAGTTTGGCCCTCCTTTTAACCTTTGTAAAAAGACTACGTTGAATTAACTCCATGTACAATTTTTTTTTTTGTTAGATTTGTTGTATGTTTTTACCTATAATTAAACTCTCATCCTCCTACAGCAGTGTCGTCTTTTTTTTTTGTCGCAACAATAAAAAAAACTCAAAGAAACCAAAATAGTAGTGTTCCTTTATTGTCACATCTATCTCCACTATCGATCCAATGACATAGTATGACAATCTCAAATCCAGTCAATTTTTAATTTATGTTTTTATTCTAACTAGGAAGAAACCCGGGCTTCGCCCCGGGATGTTTTTTTTGTGTTTTTTATGTAAAAATGTAAAAGTTTTGACTGTAAAGATCAAGACTGTCAAAGTGGCTAAAGAATTGTGGCAAAAACCTAAATGTTTTTTTTGTGTATTTCGTGCCAAAATGTATAATTTTTTTATAATAAGGACTAAAAGTGTCAAAGTTGCTAAAAAATTATGGCAAAAATCTAAAGGTTTTTTGTTTTTTTTTACAAAATTATAAAAATTTTGATTGCAAGGGCCAACTATATAATTTTTTACAATAAAGACTAAAAGTGTCAAAGTGCTTAAAAATCTGTGGCAAAATCTAAATTTTTTTTTTGTGTGTTTTTTTTTTTTTTATCAAAATACAAAAGTTTTTATTGCAAGGGCCAAAATTGTCAAAATAACCAAAAAGCTGTGGCAAAAATTTTAATCCCAAAATGTTTAAGATAATAAGGGACCAAAGTGTAAAATTTCAAAAATTATGAGGCAAATGTCTTAAACCCAGAAAAGTTGTGGCAAAATTCTATAAATTAGGGGAAAAGGAAAATTGCCAAAAAGTGAACGAAAGGGACTAAAAGTGACAAAATGGTCAAAGTTTAGTGTCAAAAATCTAAAACTAAAAAGATTACTATTCCTAAAGTCAATGTGCTTTTATATAGAGAAAATGACAAAAATAGCCAATTATCCTAATCACTTTGCGGAAAATAGCCAAAAAAATCGAATTTGCAAAAATGGCTACGAAAATCGCAGATGGGAATGGTCCATCTGCGATTTGCACATTCCATCTGCGAATGTACAAGTGGCTAAAGCACAAGTGTGCTTTAGCCACTTGTACATTCGCAGGTGGATTGAATTTTTTTTTGTATATATAGGGCATTTCAGGCTTAAAATCGCAGATGGACTGTGTCCATCTGCGATTTCTCTGTATTCCATCTGCGAATTTACGTTTTTTTTTAATTTTTTTAATTTTTTTTTAATTTGACTATGAAATCAATTGGTTTGACTACGAAATAATGTTACTATATATAAACTTTTGTAGAAAATTATCAGTTTAGTTGTTATTTGTTTAGGAAATTTCTCTAAAATCTCTCTAAAAAAATGATTGAATATTTGGTTTGTCTTGTAACCGGTGGGAGATGACAAGTTATTGAAACAAATCTGGAATACGTATGTCCACAGGGAGGTATTTCTGAATTCGCTTTGATATTTTCTGAGTATATTAGTTATAGTGATTTTGTAACTTTGGTGAGAAGCAAAATTAGTTTGTTTAGACAAATATAGAATTAGTCTTCGTTTCCATCATCCTGAATTGAATTATTATATAGCTATAGTTGAAGACATGGATGTTAGAATGTTGATAAATGTAATCAAATGCAGTGGAGAAAGGGCTGTCAAAGTGTTTGTGGTGGTTGATGAAGGAGATGAGGTTAATGAGGCTGGTCACAGTGGAAATCAGCCGGTTGGTAATTTATGCAGCTATAAAGGGAGCAACGATCTGATAGGTACTTTCAATACTCCTAGTGTACCTCAGTTTCACAGTGTTGCTGAAAATGTTAATGTTAGTTATTCACCTATTAACTATGTGGATCCTGAGAATTACAAGTATGTTGGTGATGATGATGTTGGTACATATCTTAATGATGTGGGTGGTCGTTGTGATGATGTTGCCGAACAAGAAGTTAAAGTTATGAATAGGTGTGTAGTAGATAAAAGTAAAAAGGAAAAAAAATTCGAGTCAAAAAAATGAAAAAAGCATGTTTACGGGGATTATGTTGATGTTGCTGATGTACGTTTAGATATAACCGACCTACAAAGCAATTCAGATAGAGATGAGTTGGGTGATGAAGTTAAAGCTAAGTTTCCCGATAACCTTTTTTACGGTATGCCCCCTGTACCAGCATGCCCAGTTGATATTAATGAAGATATCACAACACAGATGGTAGACATGACTCTTCAAAAGATTGAATGTGAGAGTATATTTAAGAACAAAGAACTTTTAAAGCGGTGTATTGGTAAAAAATGTCTTCGAGAAGGTTTTCAGACGTGGACAAGTAGATCCACCAAATCAAGGTATGAAGCTGTGTGTGTTTCGATAAATTGTTTTTGGTTACTAAGAGCAAAAGCAATTAAAAATTCTGATGGACTTTTCCAAGTGAATAAATTTGTTGATGTACACACATGTTCTTCAACAATTTTGCAACCTAATCATCGACAAGCAAACAAATATGTTTTGGGTGAATATCTTGCTGATGTTTTGGCTGAAGACTATAGTAGAGTTTATCGGGGAAAATATATTATTAATGATATGAATGCTCAATTGAATATCAATATCTCATACCATCAGACATGGCGTGCGAAACAATATGCATTGTTGTTGTTAAGGGGTACGAAAGAGGATTCTTTTACCAAACTTCCGGCTTATTGTCACAATTTGGTCAAACATAATCCGGGTACGGTGACACATATTAAAACAGATGGTGATGATCGCTTTGAGTTTTTGTACGTCGCACTCGGTTGCTCGGTTAGTATTATAATATTTTATTAATTTTTTCATTTTTATTTTGGTGTATTTGAATAGATATACAATGTATTGTAGGTACGCGCTTTTGTCAAATTTTGTAAACCGACCCTAGTAGTAGATGGAGCCCACCTAAAGGGCGAGTTCAAAGGTACAATGTTACTTGCAGTTACTAAGGACGGACAAAACCAAATATTACCGGTTGCATATGGTATATGCAAAAATGAGTGTACCGATTCTTGGACATGGTTTTTTCAAAAACTACGTGATTGCATAGGAAATATGCAGGAGCTTACAATTATATCTGATAGGTCTCCATCTATAGCAACATCCGTTGCCAACATTTTTCCTCACGCTCATCATGGAATATGTGGTGTCCATTTGTATTTCAACATAGTATCTAGATTCGGGAAGAGTAACACAGTTAAAGGAATTTTTTGGGAGGCTTGTAGGGCGTACACAGTTGATGCTTTTGACGCTGCCATGGATGTTATGAAAAAGACAAAAGAACCGGTATGGGAGTACTTAAAAAGTATAAATCCAGAAACTTGGTCAAGAGCACATTTTAAAGGGAACCGATACAATCTTATGTCGTCCAACAATGCGGAGTTTATAAATGCATTATCTAGACACGCACGTAAGGTGCCGATACTTATGTTGATCGATTTTTTTCGTGCAACAATGCAACAATGGTGGTTTCAAAGACGTAACTTTGCAGGTATTAAGTTAATTTTTAATATTAATGTTTTATTAATTTAATGTTATTGATCTTAACTTCTTCATTTTGCCTGTTTTTTTAGCGGAAGCAACAACAATACTTACCCCTTGGGCCAATGAAATTGTAAAAGAAAACAAAAAAACTTTTACTAAGTGGGATGTTCGCATGATCTCAAATACGAAATGCGAGGTCAAAAAGGGGGCACAAAATGTGATTGTTGATTTCCAACATATGACATGTACATGTAGGCATTGACAACTTGATGGGATACCTTGTGGTCATGTCATAAGATGTTTAACAGTGAACAATTACCAAGACTGCTCGAGGTATGCATTAAATGCTTACTTTACCAAAACACTGAGGAAAACGTATGAGGAATCAATAAATCCTTTGCCAAAGCCATCCGAATGGGATATCCCCGATGATTTGATGATTGTTAAGCCACCTATAATGGATAAACGTCAGCCAGGCAGGCCAAGAAACACAGACCGCATTCCATCCCAAGGCGAGGGTCCAATTAGAAAAGAGTGTTCTACATGTGGTCAACTAGGACACACGAGAAACAATTGTACTGGAAGGGCGTCCGGTAGTGGAGCACGTCGCACAATTTCTACTGCAGAAATGACATTTAATATTGGTGGTTTAGCGAGTTGCTCACAAACCTATGACACTGATTTTGATATAAAACAACCTTGAAATGAAGAGTTGTTAACTTATTATGTATTGTAATTTTTTTATTAAATCTTACAAGACATTGCTATGCTTTCATATTTTAGTTTAGTTTGTAGATTATAACAATTAATGAAGCTTTTATATTATAAAATTTAGTTTGCAGATTATAACAATTACAACATGTTATTTAAAAAAAACAACAAACGATCCTTTTGCAACCTAATCTGTATCATGATAATATTACAACAATTTTGTAACTAATTTTAAACTCAGGGAACTGCAATGGGTACTTCTCTTTCTCCATTGTTATATAGTCATCCCTAATTCTCATTTTGTCTTCCAAACGATCCTTTTGCACCATAATGTGTATCAACTGCTCGTCCTTCTCAGCAAGCCATTTTTCAGTCGTTTTGATTGCCTTCTTAGTCTTTTTTATCCAATCTTCATGCTCTTTGATTTTGTTTTTATTGAGGTCTATCCATTCTTGAGCTTGTTTGCATTCCGATGCAATATCATTACCACGTTGAGTGAGAAGTTGGGATGACTCTTTGTCCTCTTCTTGTTGTTCTTCAGCCTTCTTCAATTCTTCAAAATTTTCATCTGACATATATGGCCCGGCTGAAGAGGGTGTAAAAAAAGGGTCGAAATGAATCACAGTAGTAACAATCTACTTCGTTGCATGAGCAAACTTCGAATTTGTGTGAGGAACTCATAATAAAGTCGACATTATAATAAACTGGTGCTATAAGTGGTATTTATACATACTAGTCTAAATGCTACCATTTCGTAGTCAGAGTTCTAATTCATAGTCCAACTTTGAAATGACTAGACATTAATGACAAGTCACTGCAGTAACCTGCAAATCGTAGTCAAACTCTTAAGCGACAAGACATAAATGACTGTTTGACATGATAAGTCACTGCAGAAAGCTGCAAATCGTAGTCCAAATGCAACCATTTCATAGTCAAAGTTGTAATTCATAGTCCTAAATTTATTAATATAAATAGATGTTTAAGATCTAAAAACCAAACACCCAAATCACCTAAATGAAACGAACTCTCATATTTAGAAATGTCGTCGAATGCAGCAAGTTCTTCGAATGAAGTACCTGGTTCCAATTCTGAAAGGCCATGGACGACAAACGAGGTGTTGGTTCTTACACGATGTTGGCTAAGTGTTAAGGATGGTGTATCGTTACTTGCTCCCCCGCATTGCCTAGTAGGTGATGAATGAACTCGCATAACAGCTTTGTTCAACCATGAGATGGGAGAAGGACAACAACGAGAACAATCAGATGTTGTTACTAAATGGATGGATGTAAAGGAAGAAGTGACATGGTTCAATCGAGCGTGTAATTATGCGAAAAGTACCAAACTTCGTTGTCGGGACGAAGAAGAGTTCTTGGAAGTTGTTACAGATTTTTACATCTGTGAGCGTGACGGCAGAGACTTCGAATATGAGGAAGTTTGGAAGGTTGTAAAAAATAATCAGTATTTCATGTAGACCACTCTAATTTCCGTTAATAATAACCCATGGACTTGTTTTTTATTTTAATTCTTTGTTTGTAGTATGTCGTTGTTTTTAATGTAATTGTTGTAATGTTTGTAATGGTTCATGGAATTCTAGTTAGTAATGTATTCTAATGTATTGTGAAAACTAATGGAATGGGCATTTATTAATTAAAATTAAACATAGAAGATGCATCGAATATATATGTAATACATGAAAATAACCTAGTACTCACCTAATAAACTGAAATAGATTTTAAATAAACGGGATATATTTCAAAATATTCCAAGGGGCTTCAAACTGGAATTCCAACCCGTCACTTAATGACTTGTATTCCTCCTTAGCAGCTTCCAAGATGACCTCCTCAGTAGCAATTAAACGGTTGTCATCAATTTTGGTATAAACATCGTTGAATAATAGAACTTCGGTTTTCATTTCATACCATCTTGCTAAGATGTCTAGTTCGTCACGATCGTTTCTTGTAGTCATTCGGTTTTCAGCGTTGAAAATATTGGTTAAACGACTCCAAAACATTGGATCGTTCAACTTGCTGGTCTCGTACACATGAATATAAGCACGTGTAAGAACCAAGAACTCGTCATTGCTCCATGGTATAGAACTCATTTTGATTGAAACAAAGAGAGTAAAATTTCAAAAATAATATATGAACAGCTGTAACATCGTTTAGTAAACTACTTATTTAACTTAATGTCAATTTATAGTAGTTTATACACAATATCGCAGTCCAATCCTCTAATATGTCTGCAATTCATAGTCAAACTTAACTGACGAACGCAGTGTACTAAGTGATAACACAACAGATCACTGTTCGAGTTGACAAGTCATTTCGTCGAATGACAACACAATACACTGCTACTTGAGTTGACAAGCCATTGCACCGGGAAAATAAGGAGTCGCTATAAATAGTTGTTAATATCCATTTTAATTGTATCGTATTACTTCTCCCCTTGCAATTATGGACTCACCTGTACCACATATATGGAGGAACGAAGAGGAGGTCGCTTTGGTTCAAGCTTGGATTGTAACTGTAGAGGAGGATTTTCCACCGGGTCCCCCACAAGTTCGCGCTGGATCATTTTGGTCTCGTGTCTGTCATTTGTTTCACCATTTAATGGGGCGTACTCAATATCTAAGAAGAAGAGATGTCAAAGCGAAGTTTCTGGATTTGAAAATAAAGGTGAAACAATTTCAACATATTTATAACGAGTTGGATAATGAACATGCAAATACGGATGAAGACATTCTGCGACAGGTGGCTTTGGAACTATACCGTTTTGAATATGATGGTAGCGAGTTTACCCACGCAGATGCATGGAATCTTTTAAAGAATGTCCCTCATTTTTAATATGCATGTTGGTTAAGTTAATTGTTTTTCGTTAGTTAAGTTGCTTGTTGTTGTACGTGTGTTTTGTGACTATTTAATAAATGTCCCTTACTTTTAATGTATGTTGTTTCCTCAATCGCAATTAAAAAAGAATTAACAAAACAGGTACATAAATAACTAATACATAATACGGCATAAAATGCAAATGGGGTACATGAATAAGTAATACATAATACGACATAAAATGCAAACGGGGTACATGAATAACTAATACATAATACGACATAAAATACAAATGGGTTACATGAATAACTACTTCATTGAGGGAGGTAACAGGACCACCATTTCATTTGTTGTTTTCCAGAGCACATGTGATGGTATAGAATTCACCAACTCAGATCCATATGCAAGTCGATACAAGAAAGCAGTGAACTTGTAATCAACCATTTCATGAATGGCTTCAGACGTACGGGTTCTTAGACATGCTATAGCGTGGCCACATGGTATACCGCTTTTTTGCCATTTCCCACAACTACATACCCTTCATTCAAGTTGTACTTTGCTGGTGGCAAAATTGTCATCGACTGCAAATGTATCCCCATACAAA